CTTTGAACCTTGCTAGAGTAGTTAAAACTACTTATTCTAGAAACATGGTAATTTTGTTTCCTTCTTTTATTCAAAAACTTCTTCCTTTATTAATTTTCTCTTGACCACAACTCAAAAACCTTGTACCTAGTCTATTTATCCCTAGCTAGTTACAAGCAAAAAGATGATTGGTTCTCTCCTTCTTTTTTCACCACACCTTGAGCCAATCCAGTGCCTCTGCCTGTGAATCTTAATCTTCCTTATCTTTAACTGCCACGGCTTCAAGCCAGAAAGCCTAAAAACTTAATAGCGGGGCTGAAACTGCGCAGCAACATTTTCCCAAATGATTTGAGAGACACTGTTCTGCAAAATTTATTGACATTGCCGGCAAACAATTCAACACAATCACCATTAGAATCTTGAACACCAGCACAGTTGCTGGGTCATGTCATCCCAGCCTTGATCCAAACGGTTTCAAAGTTTCTCAGAATTATTAATTGAGAACCTACTTTGGTTACTCCCTGATTTTCCAGGTCTGAATCAGTCATCATCACCATTTCCTTCTATGTGCTGAATTCAAAGTTTGGTGTATATTTATGCAGCCTCAACTAGCTCTTCCTTGGGATTAGCCCAAGCTGGGTGTATGATTTGGTTTGCTTGGAGCCACCCTTCAGGCCCCAATTCTGGGGCTTTGTTTATTGCTGGACCTCCTAATCATCCCACCAGCACTCAATGGGAATCCCATGTCCATACCAAGCCTTGCGGGCTCCCAGTGAAAGAAGTGGGTCTGTGTTCATCATGCCAGCAATAATCCCCACTTGTTGTAACCGTTGTGAGATGGGTTGGAAACCTTTCTGTACTGTTGGGTTTTCTGCTGCATGTTGAGCATTTTGGCCATATTCTGAAGAACATTTGGATAGGACATGCTGAGTCGGGGCATGTGGATTGCAATCAGTCAATCCACATAGGGATGAAGAATTTTCTCAAGAGATGAGAAACTTACTTTGTCATGGCTGCCAAGTTTGCAACGGAATTCATGTCCATCCCACCACAAGCCAGCCCATGCCTTCATCATGTATTAAGCATCATTGTATCAGGGCCATTCAATGACTGGGTGTTTGGGCTGTTCAATACAATCTCCAATGTTGTTGAGCAGCAATGTCAGTTGGTACCCAAAATGGATTTCACAGACATTTGATTGGGTGAGCAGGCCCACTGCTGGCTCTCAATTCCAACAAAAGATGTGCGCTGAGGTATTATTGGAACTAGGCATGGTGAAAGTCAACATTTTTGGTGACCATTGGATGGATTTGAGCATCACTCATCAGAAGCTTGTGTGTGTGGTCATTCTGACTGGCAGATTCTGAATTCAAATTGTTCTAAATGAATTGAAATTTTGTCACTGTGGGCCGCAGAGACATGAAAATTTGTGGTTTCATCTCCAAGAATCCCTAGTACAGTGGTTAGGACACTTGACATGGACATAAGAGACATTGGTTTGATTCCCACAGGACAAATATTAGCTTCAGAGTTTCACAG